ACGCCCCCCCTGACTACCCCCTCCCTTCCCCCCAAGAACGAGTATAAAAGGACGAGCGCAACGCGAGGGAGCTCAGTATCAGAGTCTCCCAGCCCTGATGAAGCAGACTGCAACGCCTGCGAAACGTCGGCACCACACTGCAAACGGACGCGGCAACCATCCGGAAGCCATGAAGACTGAATAAAAATTTTTTCGATTTTTTGAAATTTCTAAAGTGGTGTAACCCCTTAAGTCAAATGGAGTCAAACTACGTGCATTTACGCGTTGCTGCAGTCAATTTTAGAAATTTCATGTTCGCAAGTCTCGCAAGTCATGTCTTGAAAAGACGAACGTCACCGACAGACTAATAAATAGTTGTAAATAAAACGCGCCAGAGGTGAAACCGACTTACACAGATTTGATAATTCTGTCATATATACAATTTAGGTTGTCAGTGTCAGTTTGGAGGTTGATATTGTGGCTGTCCTTTTTAATAAAGAACATCTCGGCTATCTCGCATCTCCTTGTCAAGCGTTCTTTGTGTAAAATTTGAGGGGCAGACCAATTGAAATCGTGGTCATATGTTACTCTGTGTTTGCTAACGACGAAGTGGGAACTGTCGTGTTTCTTGATGTCCCTTTGGTGTTCTTTAATTCGTATCTCGACATGTTTTTTAGTCTGTCCCACATAAGAAGCTTCACAATCATTACAATTAATACGATAGACAACCCCAGTTCTCTTGCCCAATTCCAATTTATCTTTTCCCTTTTGAATTATAGTGTCAAGTTTTTTTGGGACTTGATAAACTACGTCTAGACCAAATTTTTTTAGACTTAGGCTGACGTGTTCGCTCAAGTCTTTGATGTAAGGGAATACGTACAACGTTTTATTGCATTTTATTGCATTATGGCTACATTGTTACATTCCAATATTACTGTCACACGGAAGAGGTACTAGCTTAGAGCGTTAGTTATTTTTAGTTGCGTTTTCTTTTGCATGGTTGGTACACCAGAAATGTCTAGAGTAAAGAAGGAGAAGCTACGGACGCCCTCTTGTATAGTTTTTTTTAGTCAGTTGTCCTTTGACGAGCGAACCTCGTGTAACGCATATAATTTTCCCGGCAATAAACGTGAGTTCGTTGCTAACCAGCTTTTCTGCGTAGTCGTTGCCGACCGCCTATGCCTAATTACCGCGATCCCGACTATCCTGATACTAACATTTTGGCGACCGTGACAGGACTGTGAAAAGGATAGTCGCGGGATTGTGCAGCGCGAGAAACGTGAGGCTAAGATGGAAGCCGCAAAGAAGACTCGCACCGTAATGCGAGCGTCGTTCACACGCGCGCTGAACGACTTGGGGGATAGGATCAATGAGGCTGCGTCGAGTGCTACGGGTGTAAGCGAGTTACAAGTATTTTTACAAGTTCTAGAAGATAAGAACAAGGCTTTGGAGGACGCTAATTCGGTTTATATCACGCATATGATAAAGGCAGAAGATGTGAAAGAAGAGACAATCGAAGCGGAAATAAAGAGCAATGACGAGTACAGGGTGTTAACTCAACATACACATCAGTAAGTTGGGTTGCCTATCTACTTATCGACAGGGGCATGCTTCAGTAGGCCCACAGAATAAGGTCAGAATGCATGTCTGGTGGGAAGTGAGGAAAGGGAGATTGGTTTTTGGCCACTTCAGTAAAATGTACAGATTTAAGATTAAGATTTTATTTAATATATACATATAAAATATTTAATTAAATATAGTATAGTATATAATACATAAAATAAATATATAAAACATATGATATATATATAACATAATATGGATGAGATATTGTATTAAATAATATAGATAAAATATATAGTTTAAAATATAGATAAAATAACAAGTAAAATTCAATAAACAAATTTGAATAAATCACATTGAATAAATTACAATGTTACAATTTGAATATGTATTTTTTATCTTTACATATGCTTATAATAAATGTTCTATGTGAGCACCATTTTCTTCCAAACATAAAGCAATTCTGCGCATGAAATTTTCTCTCACTCGTTTTAGCATGAGAGAAGTAATCTCCGCACGCGTTACGAATTCTATTTTTGAGAATTTCTGGATTTTCTGGTAGTTTCATAAATTTTATTTTTTAAGAAGATAAAAAATACATATTCAAATTATAAAATTGTAATTTATTCAATGTGATTTATTCAAATTTGTTTATTGAATTTTACTTGTTATTTTATCTATATTTTAAACTATATATTTTATCTACAGGGTGTCGGATTCGATTTGGACGACTCCAAAGATTACAGTAGATTGGGTCAAGCTGAGAAGAAAAGTTATATACCATTTTACAAAATTCGTAATTATTATCGCGTAATTAAGAAAAACGTCTGAGCCAATAAGTGCACGGAGGAACTGAAGGCCGGACTCGGCAGACATGAAAAATGGTGTATTATTCTCCTACCACCAGAAAAACTTTTTCGGCGCGTTGTCATATGTCGCGCGTTCGCTCGCTGCGCGCCGTTCGCCCGCTCACCGCTCCCCGCTAGCCCCCGTCTCTCATCGATCGATGCGTGACTCCACCTCTCGCTATCGGATCTTGAGAAATGTCAACAAATACACCATTTTGCATGTCTGCCGAGTCCAGCCTTCCGCTCCTCCGTGCACTTATTGGCTCAGACGTTTTTCTTAATTACGCGATAATAATTACGGATTTTGTAAAATGGTATATAACTTTTCTTCTCAGTTTGACCCAATCTACTATAATCTTTGGAGTCGTCCAAATCGAATCCGACACCCTGTATATTATTTAATACAATATCTCATCCATATTATGTTATATATATCATATATTATATATATATATTTTATGTATTATATACTATACTATATTAAATTAAATATTTTATATGTATATATTAAATAAAATCTTAATCTTAAATCTGTAAATTTTACTGAAGTGGCCAAAAAACCAATCTCCCTTCCCTCACTTCCCGCCAAACATGCATTCTGACCTTGTTCTGTGGACCTACTGAAGCATGCCCCTGTCGGTAAGTAGATAGGCAACCCAACTTACTGATGTGTATGTTGAGTTAACACCCTGTACAAACGCAAATATATCCGTGCGCGGATGGAAGTTATAACGCGTTTATCCACCGTCACGAACAATGCCGGAGATAGTATGGAGAATCTGACGACTGAAGTGCATTACATCAACGCCAAAGCTACGATGAAGTTGCCTAAAATTGAGTTGAGAAAATTCAATGGAGACGTTAGAGAATGGCTACCATTTTGGTCACAGATCAAAAAGATACATGAAGATGCCACCATCAACAAAGGGGATAAGTTTCAGTACCTCATACAAACGATGGCACCACAATCGCGTGCAGCCGAACTGGTGGGCAGTTTCCCCCCGGTTGAAACGAACTATGACTGTGCGATCGCGAGTTTGAAAAATCGATTCGGTCGAGACGAAGTGCTTGTGGAGGTGTACGTGCGCGAGCTTCTCGAGCTTCTCGAGCTTCTCAAGCTAGTTATGAAAAACGTCATGAAGCCAGAAGACTGGATGCCGTTGTCCAGTTTGTACGACAAGATAGAGGCCCAGTTACGAGCCCTCGAATCTCTCGGTGTGACATCGGACAAATGCGGTGCCATGTTGCTACCGCTTCTTCTTCTTCTTCTAGTTGTGGCTCCCAGCTCCCTCTCCCGGAGCTGATACGGCCATGACGATCCAATATACAGATGTATAACTCAATGCTCCAAACGAGTTTTGAGGGGAGGGGACGCCATGTTATTGTCGCCCCCCCTCTCCCAATCAGCAATAAGATGACAAGTTCAAATTTGAAGTCCCGTGGCTTTAAAGGCCGCGAGTAGCAGACGATATATCTTGGGTGAAGGGTTCGTAATAAGAGGAAAAATGTCGTCTAATACAGGGCAGTGAGAGGAGGAGGAATTCAAGAAACTTAATAAATGAATCATTTTGGAAGAATATAAAGGACAGTTGAAAATAATGTGATTGATGTCCTGCGTGTCATTTCCGCAGTTGCAGCCCGCTGAGTCGACTATGTTCTTCCGGGCCAAGCTATAGTTTAAATTATAATGATTGCTGCGGATACGGTTCAAGATTACTATTTCCTCCCTTTTGAGTCTGATTTTCGAAAATCATGGTCTGGGAGCATTTGAATGGAAGTGTTGAAAATACAATTTGCCCTTTTCTTGTGCCTTATTTTTGTGAAACTCACTAGCAGCTGATTGCATATTGCTACGGGCCGAGGTATATAAATCTGCGAATGGTATCTTGAAGCTCTCCGATATATTTGCAGAGTGCGCCTTCGCCGCTAATCTATCCGCCTCCTCGTTGCCAATTATACCTCTGTGAGAGGGTATCCATACCATCGTAACGTTGATTTCCGCTTCTCTCGCACTCAACACCAGCTCTCTGATACGTGAGATCAAATAATTCTTCGGAAATGGGTCCGCCGAGGTCACTGCATCCAGAACACTCCTGGAGTCCGAAAGCACCACTACGTTCTTATAGCTTTTGCCTTGTTCCAGACATAGTTCCAAGGCCAATACAATCGCCCAGGCCTCGGCCGAAAAAATCGAAGCAATACCCGGTAGCCTGGTATAGATGCGCACATTAAGCTCTGGCGAATAGACACCAGCTCCTGTGCTGGGAAACTCTCCGCTCGTCCTGGAACCGTCAGTGTAAATCGTAAGTGCTCCGTCGAGAATTTCTCCTACCTGTTCTCTGAAGGCAGCCATAATGTCAGCACGATCTCCGTTATCCTGCAAGAAGCAGCGCACGTACTCAGGGCGGCAGGTCAATGAACCAAGGCTCCCCGAGAAACAAGGAGGGCCCGCCGTCCCGTGAACCCCCGCCAAATCGTCCTTAATTTTGATGTATGTCTTGACTGTAGGTATATTCTGTATCATCCAGACTCTACGATGGAAGGAAGTAGAACTGGCCGCCATAGCATCGATCTCGCCAATGACCGAGCTGTCCAGCCTAGCCGCACATCTGTAGATAAACCTGGTGTTCAGCATTTCCATTCTAATCAGGAATGGAGGCTCCCTGGCTTCATCGAGGATGACATTGATGGGAGTGGACGCGCGGTATCCCAGTGCCGTTCTCAGCGCTCGATTTCTCAGTTTCAGAAGAACTTCCAGCTTCGTGAGGTTACCCTTTGTAAAAAAAATTTGGTGTCCGTATTCCATGACACTCCGCATCAGTGCTCTGTAAACGTTTAGTAGAAGCAGTGGGTGGGCACCCCACCACACTCCCGCCAAAGAAGATATTACGTTGACGATACTGCGACACTTGTTTGTGATGTATTCCAGATGTGCTCTGCCCGAGAAGCTCCGGTCTATCAGAACGCCCAAGAACCTATGCTTAGCAACAACAGGAATCTCCCGCCGATGAACGACGACAGCCTCCCTATCCGGTCGAGAGCGTGTGCTCCTCGTAAAGTTGATCGATGCAGATTTGCTGATCGAAAGATCGAGGCCCTTACTATGAAGAAACCACTCTATCTTCTCGGTTGCCTCCGACAATTTCCTCGTGACCTCCGCTCTACTGCTGCTCGCTGCCCAGATTACCAAATCATCAGCAAACTGAAGCATGTTTACCCCCCTTGGTGTCTGTAAAGGGAGTTCCCTATGTAAAGATTAAAAAGTAACGGGCTCAGTATAGACCCTTGAGGCGTACCCTTGTACGTGAAATACGGTTCACTAATGACTCCATTGCTCACAAAGTATACTTCCCTCACTCTGAGGTAACTGTATATCAGGCTGCATAAATTGAGCGGCAGACCCACTTCCACCAGCACACGCAGCAACTCCCCTAAATCCACGTTGTCGAAGGCCGACGACACATCTAAGAATACCGCCGTCACTTTGTCTTCATTCAAGATTCCACCCTTCACTCCCGAGCGAATGTCGCCAGACTGTCTCCACAAGACCTACCTCTCCGAAATCCATACTGTGCCTCTGGGAGCAGTCGGCTCCTCTCAACATGCCAAGCCAGCCTTAGATGCAGGCATCTCTCGAAAACTTTAAGTATGCAAGAGAGCAGCGATATGGGCCGCAATCCCGAGCCATCTGCTTTAGGAATCAAAATCACTAATACTCGACTCCATGATGAAGGAGCCGTTCCCCTTTCCAGAAATCCGTTGAAAATGGAAAGTAAATTGTCGATTAAGTAGGGAGGAAGGACTGCTAGGATACTGAAGTCGATCTGGTCAAGACCTGGCGCCGTTTTCCTATTCCTGAAACAAGCAAGCGCGTTCCTGAGTTCCTCTATTGTGAGAGGACCACCCAATTCCGGCACTGATCTCCTGCCAGCTCTGATGCTGTGCTCCCTCAGCGCAGCCTGCACATCGAACCTATACTCGCAACTCGGAGGGCAAAATTTGCTCTGTGCTACCTCCGTCTGTTCCTTAAGAGATGCCGTATTCGCCTCATGGTTTTGCCCGACGTGAAGCCTCCTCTTCTTGTATGATTTTAGCAGCTTTCACACTTCAGGCGACGGGGTGTTGTGACTGAAAGAATTGCACAAATCCTTCCAGCCTTTACGCTTATGGCGCTTGAGGACCCTCGCGCAGTCCTCCGCTGTCCTTTTGTAGAACTCGAGGTTTGTAGCTGAGGGAGACCTCCTAAACAGAAGGAGTGCCGCTCTCCTTTCCTTGCATCTATCATTGCACTCCTCATTCCACCACAGCGCCGGCTGATGTTCCGGTCTTCTCTTACGGGTTCTGGTTCCCATATAGCAGCGCCTGTCCCCGATAAGGTCCCTAATCTTTGTCTTCAAGAAGCTGACGAGATGCTCATAACGCTCGATAGGTTCTTCTGGTCGCATGCTATTGAATGCGCTTTCATCCTCTTCCATTCTGACGCGTAGCTCCTTCAATTCGTCAATTCCAAGTCTGATCCTATATTTGTAGGTTTCCCTAGGAATCGCTAATTGTCCCACATTAGTGTGCAAGGGGAAGTGGTCGCTGCCTCTGAGATCCTCCTCTATCAGCACCGAACACAAGGGTGCCAGAGCCGAAGATGCAAGGGAGATATCGATACCCGAAAAGGACCCGTAGGTAAGACTCATATATGTTGATCCAGATGTGTTTAAGATATTGAGCCCCGTCTCGTCAATCACCTCGAGTAACCGAGCACCCATCGAGTCCCTTGCAATTCCGTCTCCCCCACCCCAGGCTGGGTGGTGAGCATTAAAGTCACCCACTATGAGCACGAGACCCTGAGGATCTAAAGACCCGAAAAGATCACGAAGGAATTCCCTTGGGGTATCGCTATTGGGATGTCTGTATATGTTGATTAAAGTGAGGATACCTTCACTGGTGTGCAGATCCACGCCCAAAACTTCGCACGAAGGATGGTTAATAGAACTCGTAGAGCGATAATTAAACTGAATGGATCCGTTAATTAGTATAGCTATCCCCCTAACTCCCGGGCCAGTAACATCTCTCCTGACAGCCACGAAACCCGGCAGATTGAAGTACCTGTTACTGGTTAGAAGAGTCTCTTGTAGACACAAAATATCGGAGTCTCCAGACATTGCGCTCAACTCCGCGTTCTTGCTCAGCGCACCTCTGCAGTTCCATTGAGTAATGCGCAATCCTTTGTTATTATGCATTAAACGATTGAATAGGATCACCAGGATGCAGATTCCCCAAATTTGGGAAATGCCTTTGAGACTGATTGCGTATTTCGATTTCCGGTATAGATTTGTTGTGATCCGAGGCGAATAAGTTCTGTAATGGAGATATCATTAATTGTAGGTTATTGATTTGTTTGATGATCCATGAAATGGTTTCTTGCAAGTACGTGTGATCATGTTGAGGGTTCTGGACGGACATGTGTGAAATTGGGTTGACGAAAGACGTGTGATCATGTTGAGGGTTCTGGACGGACATGTGTGAAATTGGATTGACAGGAGACGGTGTTCTGCCATTGGGAGATATCAGCAGCGCTGCATGCTCCTGTGGGTATGTATGCGAGCCTTGGAGGTTAGGCTGGGCACGGGGAGTGCGCTGAGATGATGATCCTTCATACAGAAAACGATTGATACTGCGTGAAGCAGTAATGTTGTTATTAGAAGCAGACTGTTTCGGTGTAGATCCTGTGATCCCAGCCGAGGCGGGTCAGCCGTGACCGACGCATAGCTGGGTTTTGGATTATTAGATTTCTGCCTTAAGAGGGGAGGTGTAAAATGAGCTGTAGGTGCTAATGCAGGATTCCCCTCCTGCCGGCTGTTGTAATATAGAGGAGGGAAGCTTCGAAAATCGTACCTGGTATCGACAAAGTTGTCCCGAGCATTCCCCAAGGTGTTGAGTTTTCTCTTTGCTTCCGCCATAGAGATGTTGTTTGTGGCTGAAAATGCCTGAGCCTGATTGTGTTCTATCACCAGCGGGCACCCATGTGAGGTGGGAACATGATCGCCCCCACAGCTAATACAGGTGGGCGTACCCTGACTTCTTGGGCACACAAAGCTTTCGTCCATGTGCTTCTCCTCTCCGCAGAAAATACACCTCGCCTTACTCTTGCATGCACCGCTTATGTGCCCTATGCGGTAGCACGAATAACAGATTTTAGTCTTCGGTATATACGGGTAGACTGTGTATCTAATGTTAAAGATGTAGACATGATTCGGTAAGGTTTGTCCTGCGAACTTCACCGAGAGTGTGCGAGACGGTTCGTAGATGACCCTCTTCGGCTTTGACTCTGCGGTTTAATCTGTTAATCTCTCTTATCCTGCAACTTGACTTCGTGTTTTGCAGAATGGTTTGTATATCGAAATCTTGAGGGATGCCTTTGATTGTTCCTGTTCTCAACAAACGGAAAGAAGGAATATAAGCATGTAATCCTTTGTTACTAAGCTCCTGATTCTCAATTAAATTATTTGCATCCGTTAGAGAGCTCATGCTGACTGAAATTTGTCCCCTTCCTATTTTGGTTACTTCACCTGTGCCTCTGGGGAATACATTGGTGATGATCCTGCTTATGTGTAGAGGATGCATGGGTGTAGCGTTGGAGTCCTTGATATGAATTATATAAGGAGGTTGATCCATCCTCGAGTACTTCTCGACTGCCTTGACGTTTGAGGTTGTAGAATTCGTAACTTGCTTACCGGTTGCATTGGTACCTGCTTTTAACACTGTCAGCGACAGCTGCGCTGCTGTCGTCAAAGGCGCCACCACGACGCCCGCGCCACTCAGACTGCTCGCCGCATCCGCTTGTTGCGCTGCAGCACTATCTGGGGTATTGTCCACACGAGATGTCAAGTGACTTTTGATTTGCACTTTGCCCGTGCACGAGTCCTCCTGGGGGGGTATGGGTTCTTCGCTTGACGCGTAATCCATGGGTGTCGCCATGTTTCCACCGCTCGATCCGCTTTCTGACGCAATTCCGAAAAGAGTGTTGCGATCAAGAGTCGTCTTCACGCTCATGCCCTTGGCAGCCTTACGACTACGATATTCCGCCAGCAGCCTATCTAAACTACCTTCAGTGGGAAGAAGCGACTTGGATGCAAATTGTGCCAGCGCACCTTTGTCACTGCGTGATTTGTTGCGACTAGCTCTTTTACGCCCTATCTTCGGAATAATTCCGCTTTTTTTGGTTTCTTTCAAAGATTCAGATAGCCTGTTAATGGTTTTTTGCAATTCATACACTTCCGAACCATTTGTACGCTGCGAGACCGTAGTCCCGGTAGAGTTATTATAGGCGGAAGGGAATCTGGAGAGGTCCCTCCCTCAAGTTCAGCCACGTCGTCAGAGGGAAGGGCAAGGGCAAAGGAAAACGGGGAAGAGGTTGTCTCGTTCCCCCCTTTGTCTATCACATTGCAAGAGGCCGCAGCCTCTTGCATAACGAGGTCCGCACTCCCACTAATTCGCTTAATTAGCACCGTCCGCTTAATGAGATCAACAACTCTCTCCGTAAAACTCACGCGCGCACAGCTCACCTCTCAACTCACGAAAACAGATCAAAACCACTGTACTCAAAACGCCGAAACCGAAACCCCGTCCGACTCCCACGGCTGAACACGCGCGAATGGTTGCTACCGCTGGTCGAGTCCTCTTTACCAGAGGAACTTTTGCGGGCTTTGCAGCGCCATCCAGTGATGCCAGCCGAGAACGTTAGCACGGTCGCTGCAGCGGCGGTGGGGGTAGAGTGGGGATAGTCCGTCTGGCCACGCCTGCGCGCGCACGCTCGCACACAAGCAACATGTTGTAAAAACGTGTGCGCTCGACGTT